AATACTCTCAGTATAAAGAAAAGATACATTAGTTAAGAATCAAGAATCATAACGTACAACACTTAATGAGAGTCATAGGATACAATCAACAATCAAATCATACTAGGAAACAGTCAATATAAATCGTAAGGATACAAGCGACAAAGTTACAGTCCTACAATCACAAGTGGGAGGGGATGGGTGATAAGGAGTGATGAGAAGATTAACAGTAATAGTAATGCAGACTTTGTAAATAGTTGAACAGTGTTGAGGGAATTATTTGTTTAGCAGAGTGATGGCTTTCAGGAAAAAACTGTTCTTGTGTCTAGTTGTTCTGTGTGCAGTGCTCTATAGCATCGTTTTGAGGGAAGGAGTTTAAACAGTTTATGTCCGGTATGTGAGGGGTCTGTAAATATTTTCACAGACCTGTGCAGTATACAGGTCCTCGAATGAAGGCAGGTGGGTAGTAATTGTTTTTCCTGTAGTCCTAATTATCTTCTGAAGTCTGTGTCTGTCCTGTTGGGTTGCAAAACCAAAGCAGACAGTTATAGAGGTGCAGATGATAGACTCAACAATTGCTCTGTAGAACTGTATCAGCAGCTCCTTGAGCAGTTTGAGCTTTCTGAGTTGGTACAGAAAGAACATCCTTTGTTGTGCTTTTTTGATTACATTTTTGATGTTAGGTGTCCATTTTAGGTCATGTGATATAGTAGAACCTTGAAATTTGAAGGTCTCTACTGTTGATACTGTGTTGTCTAGCATTGTAAGAGGTGGTAGTATGGGAGGTTTCTTCTAAAGTCTACCACCATTTCTACGGTTTTGAGTGTGTTCAGTTCCAGATTGTTCCAGTTACACCATGAAGCAAGTTGTATAACTTCCTGTCTGTATGCAGATTCATCGTTGTCTCGAATGAGACCAATCACTGTTGTGTCATCAGCAAACTTCGGTATTTTAACAGATGGATTGTTTGAGATGCAGTCTTTGGTATATAGGGAGAAGAGAAGTGGAGATAGCACACAGCCTTGGTGGGCTGGGGTGGGCTGTGCTGATTGTACAGGTATTGGATGCGATTCCGCCTAGCTTCACCTGCTGCTTCTTGTCTGTTAGGAAGCTTATGATCCACTTACAAGTGTGTTCAGGTACCGCTAGTTGGTTTAATTTACTTAGAAGAGTGTCTGGAATGATGGTATTGAATGCTGAACTGAAGTCTACAAAGAGGACCCTTGCGTAGGTATTTGGAGATTCAAGGTGTTGCAGAGCCATGTTAACAGCATCATCTGTCAGTCTATTTGCTCGGTATGCAAACTGCATGGGATCTAACAGCGGATCTGTGATGGTTTTCAGGTGGGGCAGCACAAGCCTTTCAAAGATTTTCATAACTACAGATGTTAGAGCAACTGGTTTATTTATCAACCACAATTAAGCCCAATTTTTTTTTGTTGCTAAGTGAGACATTTGTTAAGTTAGTTTTGTCCCATTTTACGACCCTTCTTGCCAAACTTGTTAAGTGAAACACTGCGGTTGTTAGGTTAGTAACACGGTTTTTAAAGAAAATCTGGCTTCCCCATTGACTTTGCTTATCAGAAGGTCACAAAAGGTGATCACATGATCTCAGGACCTTGCAAGAGTCATAAATATGAGTCAGTTGCCAAGCGTCTGAATTTTGATCACATGACCATGGGGAATGGTCATAAGTCACTTTTCTCAGTGCCATTGTAACTTTGAACTATCACTAAATGAACTGTTGTAAGTCAAACACTACCTATATACAAAAATGTGGAATAAAGAAATAGAAAATAGTCTTTGCCTTTTTTTCCCACTCAAATGGACATTCTAAGACAATCTCAAACAGTTAGATCACATATAAATGAACAGGAAAAATGTGCCATGCGTACAACATGTTTTCTGGTAAAAGAGATGAGATTAAATACTCATTGATTTTGTGCATTCACACATACCTAGGGAGCAAGACAGACTTGTTATTTTTCAGTAGATAAAAACTGAATCAAAGAGGGAATTCAATCCCTTTACCATGAACCTGGACTCTTGCAATGCACATTACACGGGGTTAGCCTTGAAAAGTAGCCAGAAACTTCCGCTGGTACAGAATGTGATCCCGGGGGTAATTTTGTGCTACCAAAGAAAACCTCTGCTCTGCAAGCTACATTGGGTGCCAGTTTGCTTCCAAGTCCAATTCAAGGTGATGCTTATGTCCTTTAAAGCTCTGCGTGGCATGGGGCCAGGTTAGCTACAAAACCGTCTTCATTTCTACCACCCAGTCAGGCAGGGAAGTTATGTTGCGGACCCCATCAATTAAAGAACTCCAATGGCAGGGCCCAGGAAGACAAATTTCTCTGCCATTTACCCTGCCTTGTGGAATATTCTCCCCTCCCCTCGGAGGTGAGGCAGCCCTCTACAGAAAAGTATGAAAACATGATTCTGTGGCTCACATGTTGAGCCCAGAGGAACACACCACTGTCGGGGTGGTTAGCAGCCTTGAAAATCCTCCCTTCACTTTTTTGAACCAATTTTAACATTGTTTTTTAATTATCCTTGCCTCTTTTTAAATCTTAACTTTTGCATACTGTTGTGGAGCGGTGGAGGAACGAGGCTGAGCCAGAGTGAAACGTAAAAGGCTTTATTGCTATGAATAAAGGGTTGCCGCGTCTGCCTCCTAACTAGGCAGGTTAGCTGGCGGCAACGGGGCTGGCACTGCTCGACAGCCGCCTTTTATAGCCGGCTGTCAAACGGTGCCAGCCAATGGGAGCGGCTGGTGCTCCCGCTCAAACAGCGGACCTGGTTGGGGACTCCAACCAGTCCCAAAGACATAACACATACTCTTTTTATGTTTTAACATTTTATTTTATACCACCCAGAGTGAGTATGTGAGGCGGATGGGCATTCCAACATGATAAATTTGTGATAAATGAATAAGGTGATAAATAAATGAGTCCTTGGTGCTCCCTGAGCTTGGTTCAGAGGTGGCATTCAGCAGGTTCTGACCAGTTCTGGAGAACTGGTAGTGGAAATTTTGAGTAGTTCTTGGAGAACCGGTAGTGGAAAATTTGAGTAGTTCAGAGACCCGGTAGTAGAAATTTTGAGTAGTTCAGAGAACCGGTAGTGGAAATTTTGAGTAGTTCAGAAAACCGGTAGTGGAAAATTTGAGTAGTTCAGAGAACCAGTAGTGGAAATTTTGAGTTGTTCGAAATAACACCTCTGACTGGCCCCACCCCTGTCTATTCTCTACCTCCTGAGTCCCAGCTGATTGGCTGGGTCTTCTTTTGTTGCCCTGCACAGGAGAACGGAGCTGGAAAGCAGGTTAGTGGGGTGGAGAGAGAATGGGAATTTTACAGTATCCTTTCCCTGCCATGCCCAGCAAGCCACACCCACCAAGCCAAGCCACGCCCATAGAACTGGTAGTAAAAAAATGATTGATAGGAACACTGGAAACATAGTGTGGCTCATAGTCTCACTATTCATTGGCAGGCTCCTAATCAAACCCTCCTCCTAACTCTACCGGCTATGTAGAACAGGACAGGATGGTTCCCTACTACAATTTGGTGTTCACAGGGTGCAGGTTTTTGATTGTTCCTGTTTTTAAAATGATCGCCTATTCCACCCAACACACTGGCCCTGATAAATGATTGGATACATTGGGCTGAATTATAATTTATTTTTATTTATTAAATACATTGACTCACCACAGGGTAAGTCTAATGAAGATGAAAAGCTTACTTTTCTCACGTAAAAGAATATGGCGGATTGAAGTTGTCACTGTGACACAATAATCATGCAAGTCAGGTATACCTATCATTGTTTCCAACTTATGGATTGAATCACTTTTTTAAAAATCACATCTATAGGAAAAAGTTATGCAGCTGCCCTTTCATCACATACTGGGAATTTCGTTTAAGAATTATGATGAATGGATAGACACCTTTAGAATGCTACCACTAAACTTAAACATGCTGACAAAAGGCAATATTATTCTACCATACTCATAGGTTTTAATTAGTCCTGGAGCTAGGCTACCCGGCAACATAATTTAGATTCAGCTGAAAACACAACCCATCCAATCCCATGTATAAAAATAGGTTTAAAGCCCACAGCAGTCCAAGATGCAGATCCCAAATGCACTCTGAATAGTCTGCATCCTTTTGGTTAGACACTAAAGGATGTGTTAATCAAAGGAAGTCACTGCCACACATCCCCAATTTATGCTAGTCCTCACGAGGAAGGGTTTTTTTCATAGGCTCCTTTGCCTTTTTTTCACGTAATTCTATCTGCAGCAAGCATCGTTTAAGAAGCAAAAAAAAAAAAAATCAATTTCTTCCACCCATCAGGAGTCCAAGATTCTTCTTTTTTTTTTATTTTTTCAGAAAATACAAAACCATATCATGGACTGAAGGCTAGAAAGCATCAACAATCAGAAATCCATCTTTTCAAAAAGAAGACTTCAAATGCAACGAAGGAAGAATCGAGAGGTTTCTATGGGATATGGTTGTGAGTTTCAATAAGTTTCGTTTGTTACTTGAAAAGGATTCCTAGATTCATTCAAATGAAAACTTTTTATGATTTCACTAGGTTTCTAACTTTGGCCTTAACAGGTCTGTAGATGGAATGAAGTGGTGCCAAATCACTCAATAAAACACAATGCTTTTCCATGATACAAAGAAATAGTTTCTCCTTGCTTGCTTCACTGACAGATCTCGAGTTCAAGACTCTCCCCAGAAATCTGCCTATTAAACTCCTGATGGATTCTTGGGTAGCAGCTCTAAAGCTCCTCACACCCTATTGGCTTTAATTAAGCCCCTCAATAGATACACACCCATTATGTTATTGTTGGTTTTTGTTGCGATTGTTTTTCTATCTCTGCCCTTAAATTAATAAAGTCACTCAATGAAGAAACAAAAAAAAAAGCACTTTAGACAACCTGTGTTTTCTTCTCATTGGGACCACGATATATTATATATGTATAATATATATAAATAGATTTTTCTAGAAAAGAAAGACTTACTTACTTAATTAGATGTCAAGACTGCAGAGCTGAGTGGAAGGCAGTCTGGCTCAGCTCTGGGCAAGGGAAAACAAAAATAATGTCTAAAGGAAAGCTGCTGCCCCTTTCCTCCCATTTATGGGTAGCTATTAATCTATATATAGAACCGATTGAAGAGCTCTCACAAACCAGAGATGGGTCTTTTAAGCAATAAACTATGACTTAGGTAAGTGGGGATGTGCTCATTTCCCACCTTTGGGGAAGCCTTTGTTAGAGTGAATAGAACTTCCTATCTGTGCATTTTGTTGATATACAGAAAATGTTGGCAATCAGCCTGGTATATATATAAAATATTATATATACATATGTATGTATGTATGTATATCATCTCAGCGAAAATATTTCACAATTGTACATATCAAATAGTTGGGGCGGCTCTGATAATGGTGAAAAAGACCAACTCCAGTCATTAAGTTTTGAAAATCTGATTAGTGTGGAGCCAGGATTTCTCTTGCCCTCGGAGTTGTAAGCTGATCCTCCCCGAAGTCTCTTTAAGAGCTGCTTGGATTATAAAAAAAACATTCTTGCCATATGTTAAGTCACATCATCTAGGTTTCTTTAAAAAAACTGTGTGAACACAGGGAGAGATCAAGCCTTCCCAAGAGATCACTGCTCAGCTCTAGCTTCCGTCAGAGATGCCAGGCCTTCACTACTGCTAGCTTGACAAAGCACACTTTTTTCCCGGTTAAATCCAGCTGCTGTCAAAACATCTATCCGTATCTGAGGAAGATGAAAGAGGAAAGCACAGAATGAGAAAAAGGCACATAAGAGAATTTGGGTGAGCTATTGACCGCAGATACATTAGCGATAATATTGTAAGCCGCCCAGGTTTACCATGCGGTAAGATGGGCGGCTAATACATTTTGCAAATAAATCAAAAATTAAAATAATGGAACAAACCATCTTCAATACTTCCAGTCTCGTAGTTCCAGTGGAGTGTTAAATGCAGGCATAAAGCGGGGATAGGAAACATGTGGCCCTGCTGATGTTGTAAAGAAGGCATCCTAGCATCCCTCATCCTTGGTCATATTGTTTGGGACATGTGGAATCCACATTGTGGATATAACAGCTAAACATCATTTGGAAGCCAGCATTGCATTGTGACTTAAAACCCAAACCCTAAATATACATTTAAAAAGAAATGGAATTATAGTACAGTCAGATACCCATATATACAGTAGACAGAATCAAGTAGTCCTTGACTTACAGCAATTCATTTAGTGACCGTTTGATGTTACAATGGAACTTATGACTGTTTTTTACATTTACGACCACTGTAGCATCCCCAATAGTCATGTGATGAAAATTCAGCCACTTGGCAACTGACTCATATTTATGATGGTTGCAGTGTCAAGCAAACTCGATGGGGAAGCTAGATTTATTTAATAATGGTATTTACTAACTTAACAACTGCAGTGATTCGCTTAACAACTGTGGGAAGAAAGGTTGTGAAATGGGGCAAAACTCACTTAACAGCTGTCTCACTTAGCAACAGAAAAATTGGGCTCAATTGTGGTCATAAGTTGAGTGCTACCTGTATTAAATTCAGTGAAATTTGCTTCTGTGGGTGTCTATGACTACAGCTGTTATCACAAATTTAACCTGGTTGAATTTGGGGCACAGTGCTAAGGAATGGTACTTAGGCTCTTGCCAGATTGTGCCTAAAATTGAAAGAAAAGACACAGAAAGAAGAACTATTTGCTATTCGTGTAATTTGAACACTGGGTTTCCAGTCATAAGATATTGTCACACCTGGAGGTGCAGAAGAGGGGAGATGAGATGCACAAAGATGAATAGCAGAAGTATAAACTTCATTTGGGATTACATATGATAAAAGTGACATTCCCTGAAAATCGAGATGGCTTATTTAGAATCATAAAACTACAGACGTAGAAGTGGCCATTTGGGCCCTTCAGTCAAATAAAATGCATCTTTCCACAGAGTAGCCTAAATCTGGAGCAAGAGCTTTCTGCAGATTCAAGTCTCTGATAGAATCATGTCCATCGTTTTCCATTTGTCTTATCTGGCCAGATTTGCTCTGGAGCAACCTCTGTAATTTTCTCATAATATGTGCATGATTCCGTAGATGCATGCAATTATATCACTTTACGATCAGCTGCAAGTATCATTCTCAGAAAAACTGGTTTTCAGTTTATCTATGGAACTTCTCAGCCATCCAGGTCATGGTTGTCCCAAAGGTGCTTTTTTTTTCAAGAGGCAATTGGACTTTCTGGTTTTTCTTTGAAGACATTTTGCTTCTCATCCGAGAAGTTTCTTCAGCTGTGACTGGATGGTGGAACGATTTATACTCCTTGCAGACAGTTGGTCATTTGCATTCTTTTAGTGGGTCGTTAAGATCACCTGGAGGTTTATCTGCGTCATCAGGGTCACCTGAGTGGTACAAATTGGTGTGGAGCCTTCTTAGAACTGTTGAAAGGACTGTGTTGTAAATTGGAGATAGATGATGTCATATCCTTCCTCCTCTGTTGAGAGAGGACTGCTCAGTTTTGACATAGATGGCCTCTTTAACCCCTCTTTCAAATCAGTGGTCCTCTCTGTTAAAAATATGGGCTTTGTTGTCTTCAAAAGAGTGGCCTGTGTCTTTGAAATGTAAATGGACTGCTGAATCTAGTCCTGATGTATGTCAACTCATAAAACATTTTGTATACACATGTCATAGTTGACAACAGAAAGAAGGAGGGGACTTTCTAAGAGCAGGTGGCAGTGTGGAATCAAAAGTACATTCCATTCGTATTTTCTTCAAACACTGATGAGAAGACTGAAGCTTCTGCCACACAAAAATCTAATTGGAGAGCATGATTGATGACTCTTGGCTATGGATGTTTTTCATTGGATGATACACCAGAAGGGGGGGGGAGCAGGATCAAGGGTGACAGTGAATTACGTATCTCAGAGTTGGCTACAGCCAGGTAAATGCCGGACATAGAATGTTACCTTGCTTGGTGGGTGTGGCAGGGGAAGGATAGTATAAAATCTCCAGTCAGAGGTGGTATTTGCCGGTTCTTGGAACTACTCAAAATTTCCGCTACCAGTTCTCCAGAACTGGTCAGAACCTACTGAATACCCACCTCTGATCTGTAGAAGGAACCAGCAGATACTACAGATAATTTTAGGAAAGGAAATAAGTCCAGATGTATCACCTACAGTCTATAAGGGTTGAGAAGGTAGATGGCTTACATAAGAGTGTGTGTGTGTGTGTGTGTGTGTGTGTGTGTGAAGAGGATAAAATGATCTGATGTACTGAGTACATAAATGGTATTATTTTCCTCTCTTAATAAACAGTCCATAATAATTGATATATATTTACTACATCTACATTTTTCCTCTAATTCCACTCTATTTCCTCCTAAACAGGATGGAATGCATGCCAGCAAAGATCCAGAGTATTAAAATCCATTTCTGAATATTAGCCATCACTTTCAGCTTCACTAAATGCTGAACCAGGCTGTAAAAACCACATCTGCTCTTGAGTGGGAAAATAAAAACAGCTGCATTCTAAATTATTGATCTTATGCTCTGGTCAAATTTTTCCCTGGCAAAACATATTTCTGTCATCCGCTCTATAGTCATCCTATAAACCAGGGTGCAAATTTTCACTTCCATTCAGATTTTCCAAGTTGTGCCCATGTCAATTGCGCAATGGCTCTTAGCTGTGCAAGACATTATGCTGAGAAGTATTTTAATGATTTGTATGCGGTGGATCCAAGAGAGGTCAACAAGGAAAGGTATAGCGTGGGGTCCAGTCTCATTCCAGATTCCTGGATAGGTTATATTTCAGCAATTCTCTTTTGAATAGTACAGCATGTTCTCTCCCACTGCTAGAAGGTCAGCTTTATGTTGCCTTGCCAGAGAGAGTTTCTAAAGAAAGAAGAAAAAGTCTTTAAGAGATTTAGTTAAAGCTTAAAGTACTGGACTAACAACCATTGTGAAAAGGCACAGCTATTAAGCAAGCATGTAAAGTGAGACAGTACCCAAACTGGTAGACAAATAGTACCTTACTCTACTGGGAGTAAGAAGCTTTGTATTTGTAAACAGCGGACAAGCTATATAGTAGTCCTTGTTTATCACCTGCCTTGTTTAGTGACCATTTGCCATTATGAAAGTAACTTTACAACCTTGCACTCATGCCCTTTGCAGTCTGCAAAGCAAAGGAAAGCTAGAGTAAAATCATAAGCATAATTGCGGTTTTACTTGGCATCTGTTTCACTTAACATCGAGTTGCCAGTCCCAACTGTAGTCTCTCAACAAGGACCATTTGAATTTGTCTAAGACACGCAATGAATTAATTATAAGCATGATGGGATGTTGTTGGGATTCCCAGGAAGGAGTGAGTGTGTTCCGGACAAGCAAAGGAGAAGGCAGTTTGTGGGAGAGAAAGAGAGTGAAGACGGCTCCTCCTTAATAGTTTCCTCCTTAATAGTTTCCAAAGTATGTAATTTATGGTCCAAGTACGGTCACTCTGCTTTAGTTTGGCAAGATTTTTGTCTAAAGGTGAAGAACAATAAAGAAATCTGCTTAGAAAAATTGCAACCTGTCCTTGGCTTTTGTAAATGTAGCTCCTTAATTGCTTGATTGACAGTGGGCTTTTGCAAGCTTCACCTCAAATGCTGTGAAGACCCCAAACCATTTATTCAGAAAAGATTTTCCTTGATCACAGTCTGATTAAAAAAAAAGTCAGACAACAATGGGAAAATCCACTGAAGAAAAACCTTGGAAAGTAAATCTCTCCTGGCCCATGTTTTGTGGAATTTCCTTCACTGTAGTTTGTTTTGGTTTTTATTTCACCTCTATCTGCTCATTAGGTTTGGACTGTATTGCTTTCTTTTGATGACTATTTTTGAATAAGTTTTATCTCCAACTGAGAATCACAATCACAAATGTGAGTCGGTTGCCAAGTGGCTGAATTTTGAGTGACATGACCATTCAGATGCTGCAACGGTTGTAAGTATGAAAATGGTCATAAATCACTTTTTTTCAGAGCTGT